CATCCGGATGTCTTCTTTAGAGAAGTGTCTATTCATGTTTTCTGCCATTTCTTCACTGGGTTATTTGTTTCTCGGGTGTGGAGTTTGGTGAGCTCTTTATAGATTTTGGATACTAGCCCTTTGTCCGATATGTCATTTGCAAATATCTTCCCATTCCGTTGGTTGCCTTTTAGTTTTGTTGGTTGTTTCCCTTGCTGTGCAGAAGCTTTTTATCTTCATAAGGTCCCAGTAGTTCATTTTTGCTTTTAATTCCCTTACCTTTGGGGATGTGTCAAGTAAGAAATTGCTATGGCTGAGGTCATCCAGAACATATCTTAAGCCTTTCTGTGTTTATAGTTTAGGCCTTTCCCTCAACTTAGATGCACTTCCTCATTTTCTGGTGAAAACCTGTCCCCAGCTTTCAGGCTATCACTATCACGTGTCTCCCTCCCTCCAATCTGATGTCATTTTCTTTAGAACTTCTTATGACACTTCACTCAGATGTGTCTAACAGTCAGTCATTTATCCTCTCCTACTAGAGAGAAAGCTCAAAGAGAAGGGCCTAAATTGAGTGTTTCTTGATAACATAAACTGAACTTGTCAATAAGGAAAAAAGAAGACACACTTTATGCAAAGGGGAAAAAAAGCCTTATTGTTAGTAGAGTAGAACACATCCTCCAATAGAAATTTTAATAAATGTATCCTCAAATCAACAACCTTACCAGTCTTACCATACATTCAATTCTTACAGGAGATACATAACTGGGAGCAGTGTGCATACTGCTTTTCAAACATAGCAAACAAGTCCCTTATCTCCAGCAGTACATTAAATGAATAGTAAAGTATGACTGTGTTTCATTAATGCCTCATTTATCTAACATCACTAAGATACGGAGGAGAAGTGAATTTTCTGGAGAAGTGGCTTCCTACTGTAGAAACAGAATTCAGACGTGCCTGTGGCCTGGACCAGCTGAGAGATGCTCCTGGGACACCGACCTCCACTTCGCCCAGTCTAGCAGAGAACACTCAGGCAGAGTGGGGCGGTCACTGTGTACCAGATACTTATACCTGTTAAAACAGGTAGGCAGCATGGAAAGAGAGCAAAGAGGGTATTAAAAACCCTCTAAAAGGGCAAAAGGAGGTTTTTGCATCTAGCAGAATCCTCCTTCCAGCCTGTGGGTACTAGCCACAGTTGTATTCCCCTGAGAAACTCTGGGGGGTTGAGCAGCTGTTCTGTTATGTCATCACCTGCTAGGAGAGTCCATCCTCCCTGCCATTGGAAACACTTTCACTCTTGAATTAGGTGTTATGGCTTAAATCGTGTACAGCCCAAAATTCGTATGTTGAAGGCCTACCCACCAGTATTTCAGAACATGACCCTATTTGGATATAGGGTCAATGCAGATATAACAGATGAGGTCATTCTAGAGTACAGTAGGGCCTCAATCCAACATGACTGGTGTCCTTATTGAAACAGGAAATTTGGAAACGGACAAGCACACAGGGAGAGTGCAATGTGAAGCTGAAGGCAGACTGGGCTGATGCTTCTATAAGCCACGCAACTTCAAAGATTGGCAGCAAACCAGCAGAAGCTAGGTGAGAGGCATGGAACAGGTTCTTTTTCACAGCGCTCAGAAGGCACCCTGATCTCAGACTTTCGCCTCCAGAACTGTGAGACAATAATTGTCTGTGGCTTAAGCCACCAAGTTTGTGCTTCTGTCTGTGCATCTCTAGCAAACTCATCGTCCCTACTGGTATCTTTCCATTGATCACATCACCAACCTACTATGACAACCACACACCACCCTAATAGAACTTCTTAACAACGTTAAGCACATTCATTCAACAAGCACATATTGATGTCCTCTATGTGCCAGGCATGAAGGACTGAACAGTATGACTGACATGACACGGTCTCTCTCATACTGGTTACAGGATATGATCAGGATACTGATCAGGATAACTGACAACATACCATAATTACACAATGATAAAATCACAATTGTGCAACAGCACTGCATGACTAAATGACTCTTTAAACTGAGGGTAGTGGGCATATTTAACCATGTCTGCATGACTCAGTGACCTCGCTATGGAGGCCCACCATATATTTCCATGCCCTTTATTACTTCTGTTCCTCTCCGAGATGTCAGGTTGTTGATTACCATGAGGTCTGCTTTTATCAGCTCCCCTCCTCTACCTCTGCTCACTCTCTCCAATCCACTTATTTCTGGTTTGGCGTTTCTAATTTGCTACGGGCTAGGGGCGCCTGGGTGGCTCAGTCAGTTATGCGTCCAAATTCGGCTCACGTCATGATCTCACGGTTCATGAGTTCGAGCCCCACATCCAGCTCTGTGTTCCCCCTCTCTGTGCCCCTCCCCTGCTCATGCTATGGTTCTCAAAAATAAATAAACATTAAAAAAATTAATTTTCTACAGGCTATAAAAATTAGGTAATTAATATTGCTAAGAAAAACATATTGAATAATAAAAACTGCTTCATGTGAGAACTGAAGATTTGGCTTAAACACAGTCTTTCTGATTTACTTTCGATTCTCAGAGACATTTTTTTTTTCTGGCAGAACAATTTCTCCCATTCAAAAAGATTCTGTTACAAGGCACTAAGGCAGGACATTATTATACAGAGAGTATTACTGAATAAACTGCCCACAAACACTTGTTTTCTTTCAAAGGGAATACAGCACAGGTGTGCTATGTAAATAGTTATCTAAGAAATACTGTGCAAATTCAGAATTATTTTATAGCCCAGTGTAATTAAGGTATATTTTTCTTCTCTTATTGTGTATCGTAACACCAAGTAATAGGACCATAAGGTCATATGGCACTCAACTGGAAAGCCCAGCCAAAACGTTTTGCAGTACATAATAAATAACCACGTACCTCTTATGCATATCCAACAATCATCTTTTGTGTTGTGCTTTTTAAGTTCTTCTTCAGTTACTTCAATTAACCTGCCTTTTAATCCCGTTAGATCCTTTCCACTTTTAGTGAGTCGAATCCAATCCATAAGACTTCTGCCCTGTTTTAGAGGGACCTGAAAAAAGGAAAAGGGAAGAATTCAATGTGGCTTCTTCGAGTCAGCTGCTCTCCCCTCCCCTTCCTCCCACTTCTCTTAAGGCTGCTTCGTTACTCTTACCCTCATTCAAAAAAATAAGAAAATTCAAATCAATAATTCTACATTTTTTTTTATAGATTTAGGTGGTTGTCAAAATCATCTCTGCTATATTCGAATTATAAATAGAACAATATAAAACACCTGGGCTATGAGGTAGGGCTTAGAAACTCTGTCACACAAACAGTCATCAGAATGGTATCTAGTAAAACAATAACATTGAACCTGGAGTCAGAAAACAAGTCTTGGTTCCGGCTCTGTCACACGGAATTAAGCTCCTGCCTATACTTATATAACTAGTTTGTTACACAGTACCAGAGAAATGTTTAATGTAAAAGAAGGCACACTCAAGGAAGCATATTGCTATACACTGAATGTGTGTGTCCCTCCAAAATTCATATGTTGAAATCCTAACCTCCAATGTGACATTAGGAAGTAGGGCCTCTGGCAGGTGACTAAGTCTTGAAGGTGGAGCCTTCGTGAATGGTATTAGTGCCCTTATTAAAAAGGCCTCAAAGGGCTCTCAGCCTTTCTGCCATGTGAGGATGTGGGGAAAAGATAGCTATGAACCAGGAATCAGGCCTTCATCAGACACTGAAGTTGTTGGTGCACTGATCTTAGAATTCCCAGCCTCCAAAACTGTGAGAAATAAATTTCCATTGTTTGTAAGTCACCTTATAAAATTTATGGCCCTCTGTTACAACAGACGGAATAGACTAAGATATTTATCAATTTCACTTTCCGGAATCCTACCTATTGCAGGCACTCATTTCCCCCCAAATAACCAAACTAATAGGTCTGTGGTACCACTGCAATTTCACATTCCTTCCTACCAACTACATCATCCCCTTCTTACCATCCCTGAAATTCTCTAGGTTTCTTGGTCCCAGTAAATGAAGTAAAGTATGAGAAAATGATCTTTCCCATCCCAAACCAAAATCACTTCTCTCTCTTATCTACGAGGATTCCATAATCTACTGAGTAGTTAAGCAACTCTAATCATGGGCCCTCCCTCCTTCAGTGGCTCTCCACACTACTCTACAATAAATAATGTCTCTAAATTCCCTCGTTTACCAGGCCCTTCCTATCTGATCATAGTTTACCTCACTAGCTCTGAGTTTTAGTTTCTGCTCCTTCCTATTACATGCTTTAGCTAAATGGGAACTGATTCCTTGATTAGTATGAAACACCTGCTCCTCTGCCTGGATCAATTCCCTTCCTCTCTCCCACAGACATTATTTCCTCCAGAAGCCTTCTCTGACCCTAACCCCTTGTGGTCATAACATACTGTTACAATTCTTATGACATTTGTAACTATTTGTCTGTGCAGCCTATTAGCTTATTAGACTAACCTCCTTGGAAACAGAGACCACATCTCCAGCATATGGTAGGTTCTCAATAAATATTTATTTACTAGTGTCAGTAGAAATAATAAAGCTACCATATATTGAGTACATATTCTGTAACACACACTGTCCTGAGGGCTTTATACAACAATCCCACAACAATCCATGGGGTCTGAATAAAAGCCTAAAGGCAAGTAACACAGAGGAGTGCATACCATATACCAAGATTGTGCTAAGAGAAACATTATCTCATTTAATCCTATGAACAGCCCTATAAAATGGGTACTATTATTCTCATTTACACCTGAGAAAAATGAGACTCAGAGATTAAGTCATGGGACCTGGGAAAAGAATCTGGGTCTTTCTCACTCAAAAATCTATGCTTTTAACTATTATGATATACAACCTCCCCAACTAGCTTCTATTTTCTCAACGTCTACCCATGTCATACAAGCCAGACTCAGGTTCTAACACTGCAAGATTACCTTATTTCATAAAGTACTGGGGGGGGGGGGGAGGGGGGGTTGTCTGAGTTTCCTCTTGAATTGCACAATAATTGTATTTTGTTCTCTTTTTGGACCCAAAGACTCACCTTTGTCATCACCATCTGTGAACCTTTTGTCTTTGCTTCTGAGCTTTCTCTTTTAAAATGATGCTGAGAACATTGTTTGTAGTTTGAACAGAAGGCCAGAAACTCATATTCTAATTCAGATATTCTTTCTCTGCAAAGGCTATACTTATTTAGCCAAGAATTTAGCTCAAGGAGAGAAACGGGTCAAACATCAAGGAGGAGGGGTCAGATGATTAGATGGCTGGATGATACATGTAGCAATAAATGAAATGTTCCAGCCAGAGTCACATCACATCAAGTTTTGGGGTCCAAAGCAACATGTCTTAAACAGTTCCCTTTCTGTGATATAGAGATAGCAAAAGCACTCATTTCATGGGATCACTGTAAAGATTAAATGAGTTAATACACACGAAGCACTCAAAACACTTAGACCATACACAGTAAGCACCGAATAAATTTTAGCCATGTTATTACTTTTGTTAGAGTTACAGACTTCTGAAAAGCTAATGAAAGCTACAGATTTCTGAATCCATAATTCTAATCCAGAGTCAAACTCCAGGTTTAAGTGGAAGGGGGAAAAAAAAAAGTCGGTGAAGATCCTAAATAATGCTAAGATCCAAGAATTCAGAATTGGGGGGGTGGGGGGAAGTGGCCCAAGCAGGTGGAAGTTTCAAAAACAAAACATGAAGTTATAGAATGAGGAACTAACAAATAACTGGAGTAATTATCTACGTTGCAATGAACACAGGAGACAATTTTATTAAATTTTGTAAATATAAAATACATTTGTATTCCACCTGTTGCTAACAGTAACTATGTTTAACTAAAAGTTAAAGAGTATCATATTAGCTTCAAAGTCAGCAAGTGGTATCAGTAGAAAAGGCAGTGATTAAACAGGTACCAAAAGTAGAAAGGCAGCATGACTAAAAGAAGTGTCCATAAACCCTCCGGAGGACTGTAGACATTTGTTCTCGCTTCCCCAATCTTCCCTAGTTGCCACCTTGGGAGGGATGGTCACTGGCCAATGTCGCTACTTCCCAACCTTTCCCTTCTCTTAGGGAACCACATCACTCACAACTCCTTCCGGCAAGTGTAGAACAAAAGACTGGAGATGAGGATAGGCTGAGGGAAAGAAGCTAATACTGAATACCTATATGATAACGTCAAGCACTGTGCTGACCCAGTCATACACGACTAAATTTAATTCGCGGGAAAAGACTTCACATTAAGGGAATTGCGGATGGGAAAGAAAGGGGCTAGTAGGTGAGAGGGAGGGAGGTTAGGAGAACTCAATGATTGCAGACATAAGTGGATCAGAAAGAGATCGTCAGCAAGGGCAGGAGGGAACGAAGGCGAGAGCGGAGGACAGGAGGTGGAAGAGGGGTCCTTAGGAGAGAATGGACCTTTGGGTAGCAAGGAACGCCGGCGGGCGGCGAGCTGAATGAGACCAACGGTGTCACCCGCTTACCTTGCTACGCCCCCCGGAGGCGACGCGCTGCTGTGAGCTGGGGGCCGGGAAAGACTGGGAAGGGACGTTCAGCATCCTGGACCCCTGGCCCGGGCCCTGCCCGGGGTCCGCCGCCGGACAAGATCTCTCGGCTCGACCCCCTCTACCGTAACACCTACCGCTCCGGCTCCGAGGCCGGGCAGAGGCCAAGCCCCCGACCCACTTCCGGGGTCGCCCGGGGTGAGGCGCGCCATGACGCAGCACGTTGAGGCCGCGAAGGGCGGAGCCAAAGGAAAGAACGGAGCGCCGGCAGGGGAGGAACCAGAGAGAAGTACGCATGCTTCGTTAGTCCTGAAGTCTGAATTTCAGCACCGCAGGGAGGTGACAGCTATTCCGTGGTAGCATTTAAGACAGAGGGAAGCTGTTCCTTAGCCTTGGTGCTGACAGAATCTGAAAATAAATTCTTATAGACTGTTAAACCAGGACACAAGTGTCTGTCTATTGTTAAGCACTACCACCACACTACTCGAAATATGGCACAAAATAACACTTTCAAAGCATTTTGATTTCTCTGAAACTCTCTACTGTAAGACACCTGTCTGTACAGGAAAGAGAACCTTTAAGAATTAAAGTGTCAAATGCAGCCACTCCTACTAGGTGAAGCTTCACCTTTAAGAACCCCCGCTAATGACTAACGAATGAGTCGAAGAAGTAAAGTCTCCTGCTCCGATCACCACTCACAAGCGTTTCCTCTTCATCTAACTTCCTATCTTCACTGAAGGATACAGGGAATTGCTTACTGATACAACCCCAGATGGAGTGACGAGCAGTTATGTTTGAGTCAAATAGGTTTAGTTTGAATGCCATCTCTCTGCATTTAATAAATAAGGCCTTATGCGAGTTATTTGAGTGTCTCAAAGTTTCATTTTCCCCATCTGCCTAATGGCTTTAGATTTCAGTAAGGATTAAATGAGATGTCATATGTAAACTACCTGGTATAGTGCCTGGTTGGTTAGTTGTAGCCAATAAATCAATAAATGGCGGTGGTTCTTCATACTATTCCAACATATTGATGAGAGAAGCTCGAATACTATGCAGGTAAAAACCAGTCCCTAATGATCAAAGTCCAGATTCGTGACCTGGTGGATTTTTTGTATATCCCTTGGGGTACACACACCTCCTGAGTGTAGAATCCAGTGAAGAGAAAACGTTTTCAGGAGAAAAAATATACTTGTAAATAACTCTCCCTAATTGAGGCCATTACTAATTTTTCCTGACTCTGACACATGATTTGAACTTACTCTATTTCAACCGCCTTGTCCTTAAGGTTAGAAGGCAAATTGTGTGAATCTAGCCATTCAAGTAAGAGGATTTCTTAGCCAGGTAACCATCTTGGACCTTCACCTCTACCTATCGCCATTCTGGGATATTAGTAAACATTTTATTGGCAATTAAAATGCTTATTGTGAAAAATTGTATTTAAGCTAAAGAACTTCACAACTATAGTCTATCTACTATGTTACCTTTACCTTGCAATGTGCTCCTGTTTTCTCTTTCATTAAATGATAAGGTGTTCTTTCATAAGTCTACATTAAAAAAAAAAAAAAAAAAAAAAAAAAAAAAAAAAAAGCTTGGGGCACCTGGGTGGCTCAGTCCATTAAGCGTCTGACTGTTGGTTTTGGCTCAGGTCATGATTTCATGGTTCCTGGGATCAAGTCCTACATTTGGATCTGCGCTGAAGGGGCAGAGCCTTCTTGGGATTCACTCTTTTCTGTCTGTCTCTGCCCCTCCCCTGCTCACATTCTCTCTCTCAAAATAAATAAACATTTAAAAAGATAAAAAAAAAAACTTAAAAAAGCTAATCACTGACAATTTCTTATTCACTTCCCACGAGAAAAATTTTTACATGACAATATTAGGAGCAAGGAACCAGAACAAAGGAAGGTGATGTTGTTGAAAATCACTTCATATCTGCCAAATTTCTTAGTTCCCCCTTGGACAGAAATGGAAAAATATCAAATTCTAGCCTTTGGCTCCCCTTTTATTGACTCCATGTAAGTCATACTCACTTTTTTTTGTTTTGTTTTAGTTCTGGGAATCCCTCAATGTAGCACTACAATTATTGAACACCCATGCTATTTTACTACTGGGTTTAAGGACAGCAGAGGAGTATTAAAGTGACAATGACTTGATTCTTCATTCATTAAACATCTCTAAAATTTAATAGCCCTGACATTAATTCCCACTCTCAATTATGGACAATGATTTAGAGTGTTTTTCACCATTTGCAAGCAAACACATAATATTGTGTGATTAGTATCAAGGTGACTTTCTTCATTATCTAATAATATTCATCTGCAACTACAATATCTAATGAGGATCGGTAAGAAATACCAGATGTTACAAGATTAGGTTGAAAATTAAATATAGTCACTCTCTGCAAAGTTTTAGCTAAATACTTGCAGAATTATAACTAAAGTTAAATTTGTAATTTGATGAAGAGATCAAAATTATCTTTTGTAAACCTCAAATGTTTACAATACAATCAAGACATTTGTACACGGCACTTATTTTTCAATTCCAACATTGGATTATAGTGTAAGGATAAAAAAAAAAGCCAAACTACTTTGTAATTCCAAAATATTTCATTTTATTAATAATTTATATACAAATAAATTAGTTTAAAGGATTATGATACATTTGTACACTAAATTTAAATTCTATAAGCTTTTAATGTCATCAAAAGTAACTAATCAGATTAATTTTCACAGATCAGCTCCTCAATTTCATCTTCACTATCAGAATCTTCATAAAATGAAATTGTGGCTTGAATTGGAAAATTTTTCAGAAGAGCTTCTGCTTCTTGATATAAGTAATCATAACACTTTGATTTGGGCCAAAATAGTCTGAAAGAAGCAGACAACATAATATGCTTTATTTTGTCACATTCAGAATCCTTATTTTCATGAAATGTTCAAATTTCAAGAGCTCCATATACTTATCAATTGATGTATGCCTTTAGATAGAGTTTTAAAATGTTACTATCACAGGTTTCCTGGGAGTCTACTTGCCAAAGTATCAATAACTAGTTAATTATTTTTAAATCTTTATCCAAGCTATAAATTGGATCAAATAAATTCACACTAAACCCTTTATGAGCATAAGATCAGTATTTAGCTTTCTTCAGGTATTACTGATATATTTATTCTTACAATATACAGAAGAAGGTTGTCTTCCAATTTCCAAATTCCTTTGGGAAAAAAATGAATTCTACTATTACATTAAAATTTTTGATAGCCAATTTTATAAAGACAACAAAATGTTATGCACCTTCCAGAAAAGCGGAAATCATCTAGTATCTCAACTAAAACCCACAAATTTAACTGTTAGTTACAGATGTAGCCAATGTAAGTTTAGAAAAGTACAAAAAGCAATATTTTAAAAAGTTTTTCTATGCACTCACACCAGGGGTATAAAAAAGCTTCCTCTGACCCCAACCTTGATCACATCTCCCTTCCTTTTCCCCATCCAACTAAATTTGGAAAATCCATATTAAGATATTGAGAATAATACTGGCTTTATACAATAATTTTCATGTAACCCAATTACCTCATATTTTCAAATTTTTGACAAATATTAATCTTGCCATATGGCCTTCTATTATTTTTCATACAAGGTAAAGAAAAGAAGGATATGGCTGACTCACCAGCAACAGTGCAGTCATTTTAGTGTAGGGTAATTAGCCCCAGCCCCAGGCACCCATTTATAACAGAGTGGTTCTAACAAAGAGAAGGTTACATTGTGCCCAGTATACTCCATTTTAAAGAGCAGAAAAGTAGGTAATATAGTTTATAAATGTTTCTAGACAACTGGTAAAAAAAAAAGTTTTTAATTTTGATGCCTAAATAAGCAATCATCAATAATTCAGTTGTTCAGTAAGTATTTTAGTGATTCCTTGTGCCAGACATAATTCATCATTCAAAGATAAAAAAAATCATGGTCCCTATCCTCAAGATGATTAAATTAAAAATGAAACACACAATAGTACTCAAGATAGAAATTAGTAAAAATAAAATAAACTTAAAGAAGTACTAATTAATGGCTACAGTAGTTCAGAAGAAGAAAGGAATTTCTTATACAGGAAACAATTGATTTTCTAATGCTTAACTAGAACTGTCAAATCCAAAGAATGTTGTTTAATTGTTACCACACTCTTCCCAGAATCTCTGACCATTTTTCTTTCAGGGACTTGACACTTTTCCTGAATTCTCCCCCGGGCTGAATGGTTCTTCTCAGTCTCCTTTGTGGATCCCTTTTTCTGTGTATACAGGTTAAAACTGGCCTTCCCAAGCGTTTTATCAAGAGTGATCATCTCTCCTCCCGAAGTCCCCCGGAAGACCTCACTCACCACCATGATTTCCCCAAACATTCATTTACTGAAGACTCTAAGCTGTCCGTATTTCCATTTAAGATCTTGACTGTGGGCCCGTTACCTATAGATGCAACTCTTTACTGGACACATCTATTTGGATATCCCATAGGCCCATTGAATGTGATAAATGAAAAACTAGACTCGTTATCTTGTTCCCCAAATCTGTTTTAAGCCCTAATTTCCACTCTGTTGGTGCAGCATTCATCTAGTCATCAGACACAAACTTGGGAGCCATTCTGTCTTTCTACCTCTTCTTTACCTACTATATCCAATACATTATAACCCTATTATGTCACCCAAGCCTTCCCCAAATTCTGTCAGTCCCAGCCCCACTTCCAATGCGTCAGAATGGCTCTTTAGCATATCTTGCCTGAATTACAGTAACTTCCAACTTCACTTCGGTGTTCTAACTAAGCCTATATACCATTTTCTTCGTGCTTTTTCTGAAACACAAATCTGATCACACTTCTCTTCTGGTTAAAATCCTTTGGGTAACCCCCAATACCATCTACAGAATTAAGTCCATGGGTTCCCAATGCCACATACAGGATTAGGACAAAACTCTCTACCATGGTGTGCAAGATCCGGCCTCTGGCTTACCTGCTGGAATGACCACACCTTCACTTACCCAAATTCCAGCTCCTTGATACTCCCAGAGGGAGCTATGGTGTTCTATGACTCTGTATCCCTTTTCCTATGCTATTTCTTCTGTCCCCTTTTCCCACACCTACCATCCATCTGGCTAACTTTGAGACTCAGCTAGGTAACCACAACCTATCATACACACTTTCCAGATCTT